GGAGTGGAAGGGTTAAAGCAATCAACACAAAGTGCCTGTTGCAAACTGCTGAAACAATACTGACTGGGGTAGGGATGCAAGGAAGAGTCAATTTACAATAATATTCCACAGGTCCCCATATTCCTTCAAAAGGAAGTTGAATTTACACCACCAAATAATACAAGGCCCAAGAATTCCCTTTCCTTAGCCTTGCTCTTCTTATCTACTTTTTGTGTCAACATTTCTTTCCATGCAGCTTCCCTTCACCACCAGTAAGACAATTCTTCATGATCACGGGGTTTACAATCACATGAGGAACATCTGTCCACATTTGCAATGTAAGAAGGAAAACTACGAATAGTTGAGATCCCAGCCGTAGTGCACGTACAGGAGGTACAAGCTAAGTGTTTCACATACATGGGAGAGAAATGGCACACACACTAGTTAAAGGTATGATAACTACAGGCCAAACATTAGGTAGACACTGTAACCTCAAATACAGATGATCAAAGTAAGAATCGGGCAATCCTAAAAACAGATTTGTGAATTTTTGATTAAAAGATTATTGCATCCAGAATTCCTTCTTCATCGCCTTTCTTCACAGACTTTCTTCTATTTACCTCATACAAACACAGAGCCTGGGCTCCATGCAGTGCACTTGTGCAATCTGGGACCTCCATTTGACTTCTTCTTCAGTGTGAGTTTCTCTCCTCGGTATTTTCTTGTCCCTGTCCACCCATCCCTGATCCAGAGCTGGCAGCTTTTTCAGTCCTGCATCATCTTTATTCTGCCTACTTCCTTCCATGTTTTACCTAAACCTTTTTGCTTCCTGGCCAACAGGAACAACCAACAGACAGCAGGCAACAACAACCCAGACATCAACTCCTATTCCATCACTTTCCACCTCACAGCAGTTCCTGCCTGGTCATCCCTCTTGCTGGGATATTGCCMGCTCAACACGCCGCTGAAGCCCCTGAGGAACCCGCCAGGCTCCTTCTGAACTTCTTCCCCACRTAAGTTCACACCTCCTCCCTCACCACCCACCCCTTCCTGCCTTGCAGCCTCTCTGACCCGTGGCCACCCTGGCGCCCAAGTTCCCACCTCCGCACTTGCCTTTCTGCTATGGGACCCACGTCAGCTAGAGCCTCATCCGCAGAGCTGCTCCCCACTCTACCCCTATGACTCAGTGCAGAAATGAGAAGGAAGAAAATCCTGCCTGAGGCTGCCTGAGGAGTCCCCACCACTTACAGCTTCACTGAACCCCACTCCGCAGCTCTGCTGAACTCCTTGCCCCAGGGCTTCTCCTTTCAGCCCTACCTCCGTAACTCCAGCTCCTCTTCCTCTTTGCCTGCAACAACATGTTGGGAATTTTTCTCAGGGATTCTTCGAAACAAACTTGAGTGTAGACTGGCAGAGGATGATGGGAAGCATGGTGTCCTCAACCATTCCACTCTATAAATTCTGGTCTCGGTTGGTGGAGGGATAGAAACCACAAAATAGAGGGATTTGGCCTCTATTACTTTACAGGGATGGTATGAACTATCTATTTTCTTATCATTGCAGATACTGGTTATGTAAGGAGGCTTAAAAAATGAGAAGAGTCCTTAAGCTACAAGAAAAATAAGTGGTTATCAATATGTACGCAAAGGCAAAAGAAAAAGTACAGTGCAACACTTCCCCCTACTGACAGAAATAAGGCAAATCACTARTAACTGCTCTTTCCGGGGCCCAAATTACCAAATCCCAAAGCAGTGCCTACGGAAGAATCATGTAAAATTCAGCTATGTATGGACATGCTATAGGTCTAGGTGGAGACCTGCCAAACTCGGGTGTGTTTCAGGAATGATTTCTTCAAGAAAATCACTCTGACACACTGGTATTCAAACCAGTTGAGAAAAGCAAGTGCAAACACCGCTGCTCTGCCTCCGTGTCACCTTGTGCGGYCCCATGGCAGCTGCGGAGTTGAATCGGGTCCGAATTGCTGCCGCAGCGGCCGCTCGCCAAAGCCAAAACGGGATCCGGGCCTTCCTGCAGATGCACGGCACTCATTTCTGGATTGGAAACTAGCACTGGGATCAGCTGGAAAAAATAAAAAATAAGGTCTGGAGAAAAGCCTGTGACACGTTAAATGCTCATGTCACCYGAGGAATGCAGTGATCAAACACGCACCACAGGTACAACTCAGCGGGTAACGCAACGTCCAGTGTCTGCCTAGGCAATGCCCAGCTTGCAGCGCAGCCTTCTCCAACACACTTCCCTTGGAGAATATCGGCAATTCTAGCAGCCGATAGATAATAAATACCAAACACAATTCGGTATTTAAAAATATATACTAAATAATTACATAGGTAGGTAGGTAGGTAGGTAGGTAGGTAGGTAGATAGATAGATAGATAGATAGATAGATAGATAGATAGATAGATAGATAGATAGATAGATAAACCGGCCTCTGCTGTTAAAGCCTTCCTTTAAGTTCGCCTCGGCCTGCAGTCGCCTCGCTTGGGCTGGGCTTGTGCGCACGACGGCGCTTCAGGTAATGGCCGCCCCAACGGCCGCCCAACGGTCACCACCAACGGCCGCGACCAAGGGCGGCCGGGCCGGGCCGGGGGCGGGGGGCGGGCGGCGGGCGCGGCGCCGCCGTTGACGCACAGGGAAGGAAAAGCGGCGGCGGCGGCGGCGGCGCTTCAGAGCGAGCGGCCGCGGCGGGAGCGAGCGAGCGAGCGGCGGCCAAGGCGGCGGGAAGGAGCGAGCGGCCGCCTCAGCGCAGCGCAGCGCCCGCCGCGCGGGGCCCGCGGCCCGGCCCGCGCACAGGCAAGTCGGGCGGCGCGGAGCAGCGCGGAGCCGGGGCTGTTCGCCGCGCTTGGGCACTGCTTTCCTCCTGYTTATTGCCGTTTGGGCGGGCTTCACCTCATAGATTTCTGCGAGGCGCGAGGCGAAGCGCCCTGAGCTGTCCAGCTTGGCGTGCGGGCGCCTGAGGGAGGGCAGGTGCTGGGCTGCGCTTTTGTGGTTGTCCCCCCCAAAAATCCTCTCTCCGCATCGCAGCCCCGTCCTGGGCACCGCGTCCCACGCGGGCTGCGGGCCCCGTGCTGCCTGGAGGCCTCAGCAAAATCCTCCTTTTCGGCTATAAATGCTAAGCTCTTCCTGCCAAGTTCTGCCAGGGTGTCATAAAACACTGGGGTTTGCCAAAAATTGCAAACAGAACTCTCACCAAAAATGAATATATTTATGAATCTATTACTACTTTTTCATTAAAAAAAAAAAAAAAGAAATGTGGTGACTCAGTTTCTCAGGAAATCGAGTCTGCGATAGTGCGAACAGCACAGCCAAAATGAGTAAAACGTACCAACAATATTGTGTTTTCTGAACAATTTAAAGCAATGGAGTAAATTTTGTCCTCTACTTAGCAGCAGTGGCAGGAATGGAGGGTCCTCCCGCAGACACATCATCCCATCGAGGGGGCCCCGTGATGCGGGGGGAACCGGCACCTGCCCCCTCTGCCTGGGCAGAGCAAGTGCTGGGGCTTCCTCGCACCCCAAGAGACTCCATCTCTTTAACTCTTTTTATTCTGACTCAAGTAAAAGCAAAATGAAAGACCACAATATTAGCAAGGTTATCTATGCCATGCTTCGACGGGCTGGCATTCTGAAAGGGTGACTCAGAATTGGAAACAGAAAAGTTGTTTGTAAAAAGGTCAACTTTTTAGAAAAAGCAGCAGCTTTGATGAAATCTTGTCTTTTTCAGGAAAATTTTCTATCAAAACCACTCAAACTGATGTAATGTTGGCCCGTCACAACCTTTAACCCTGGATTTATGCAGTTTGTTAATGTGAACAAACATAGTATCATAATAAAAGCAATTCTGACCTTGATATAATGGGGTTTGTATCATTTTCCTTTTGCCATTTTTGAGGCATATGACATAGCAATGCAAAGCAGCATTTACTAAGGATTTACACAGCATAACAACACACACACACACAGATATAAAATAAATATATAAAATAAATAAGCAAAAGGTAAAGTGGATGAATTACGGCCAGACATTTTTGGTTGCCCAGCAAGGCTTGGGCATTCTGCCAGTGACCCAACCCAACCTTTCCTGCACTAAAAAAACACAGTGAAAATTGTGCTTTAACAAGTGGAATTAATGGTGATGTGGTACAAACCAAAAAGATAGTGTTCTCCCAAGTGGAGATAAAGTCGCCTAGACCGGAGCCTGCTTTGAGAGCCTGCTTGCCAAATCAGCATTTTTAGGCCATGGAAAGAAAGAGATATTGAAAGATAATAAACCCCACCTAAAATCTTGAACAGATGAGCTTCTAATGCCAGTATCTTAATAAAGAACCCAAAGTAGATTGGGATAGGTGTTACAGGTAGGAGCTAATTTTGGGGTCTTTTTAAACATCAAATCTCAGAACTTCATCCTAGCATAAACTGAAAAGAAATGTACCAGATCAATAATTCACATTGCAAAACAAGCAGTGCTGCCCAAATGGGGAAGATGTGGGACTCAAGGAAKAGCCCAAAACATACAACATCTAGTGGTGTGAATTCTCCAATAAGAGCAAATCCTTTGTTTTCTATCCCTATTTCATAAGAACTGCTTTACCCATGTATGATATGTAAAATTCTAAACTACTTGTCTTCAAAGAGATGCTATGTAAAGGAATGATTACTCATCTGCCTACTTCGTAAGCATGATACAGTACCCAAAATATTTGCATTAAGGAGGAAAAATGGCAGAGATGCTCATGCAGTTGTAAAATCTAGAGCTTCTGAAGTTGTAAAAAAAGAGTTTCTTTTAGTGGCTTTGCTCGACTTCAGTTTCGACCCAAGTAAGTGGTGAAAGGAGAAATAATATTTGGAAATGAAAATGGAACTTGGAAAAGAGAATAAAGAGGAACATTGCAGTATATAATAAAAATAACTAGCATGAAGTCCAGAAGTTTATACACTGTGGCTTATGAATGCAATGTCAGATATCCAACTTTCAATAATAAACATTAACCATTTCTTTTGCAGCATGTCCCAATGGAGCCAAGTTCAACAACTGGAGATAAAGTTTTTGGAGCAGGTAGACCAGTTCTATGATGATAACTTCCCCATGGAAATCCGGCATCTACTAGCCCAATGGATAGAAAGCCAAGATTGGTAGGATGCAATTTATTCTCTCTTTCGAATCATGATCCTTATTTTTTTTTCCCCATTTGGCAGATTTTTGGTGTGCTCGCTTGTGAACTGAGCAGGCATCTGTATTCCCAACAACAACATAGTTATGGATTCAGACTGTTGCTGACTAGTGTCACCCTTCATGTAAATAGAAGATTAAAGAGGAATTTGGAATGTCAGTAAACATTCATAAAGCTCCAACTTTCTTATTCTAATTAATTAAACAAAAACTTGCACTCTATGTATTTTGTGTCATAGACAGGCTTATATTAAAACACAGAACAAAATAAGGACATTTCTTTCTGGATTCTATTCCTAATAAGCCAAGTACCCCATACTACATGAAAGACAAGGTTAATATAATTATGCGTGTAATCAAAGTATAAAAATACTATTGATGGATTTTCATACAGCTCTGTTTTCTGTCCTTTKCAACTTTAAACTTAAGACTTGGCTGGAGGTGAGGTTAACATTGGTTTAGGAAAGTAATGGAATTACAGTTATTTCATGGAGAAAGTAGTGTGTCAGTTTTCAATGGAAATCTTATTTGCTTATGTTTGCAGCATAAAATTATTCCACTTGTTCAAAACTGCAGTTTAAACTGAATGCATAATTTTGGCGAGCAAGCCAGCTATTTGCAGGAACTATTGTCTAGAAGGTTAATTTATGAACAAATTTAGATTGAAATCATCGGGTATTTTTCTTAAGAAAATTCAGAACTAAATGCCAACAAAGTTTATATTAGTAGCACTGGAAAGAAACTTTTTTTTTTTTTTCCCAAGGTAAATCCACCAGATTATTAGAATGCTATTGCAGAAACCTACTAAGGAGTATAATCTTTCCTAACAATTTAGAACCCAGTGTTTATAGAGCTATGGGATTATTAAAACCTCCTCTGCTAGATTTAGAAGGTGTATCCCAAATAGGCWTCTGCCATTTGGGGACAAGGAGAGAGGGTGTCCTTACAAGGACAGCACGCAGTCCAAAGTGCATCTTCCTCTATTCAGCTCACCGGTGCTATTGCCCTTCATGTAACAAACTGTTCCACAAACAGCAGAGTTAGTCAAGTAGGGTTTTGTATGAATTTATGTCCCTTRTCCCCTACGTACCCTTCACCAAAATTCTCAGCATCTTCCTCTATGCCCAAATAGTCTGGCTGGGCAAAAGCTTGTGGTGCCTGGTGTGAAGATGTGTGTGTGCTGATTGGCCATCTGGAGCTAGTCATTGCTGCCTTTGTCTCAATGGAGGCAGTAATTTGGATCCCTCTGCTCTACCAAACTGCTGTTTCCCTAGGAAATTTCTAAGAATATTGTATCTCTCAGACTTCAGCCCTGCTATCAACTTCGTTYGAAGCTGGGCAGCAGGTCCAGAAAGGTTATTGGTGTGACTGACAAGAGAGGGAGGCAGACTGTATTCATGGGCATAACTTAACCCTGGAAAGACGACTAAAGATATTTAAATGTTCAGTGAGATAGAGACTAAACCCTGCTTCTCTTCCCACTGCATGACTCCATGGCGTGTGCTCACAACATCCCCATTCTCTCTAGAAAGTTGCATATCCAGGAAAATATGAACCAGAGGATCACCAACACAATTATTTACATAGCTCAAAGGCATGTGCCTTTCTTTACTACCTGAATTTCTGAATGGATTAGAACTTCTTGTGCAAAGAGTAAGAGACACTTACTAAGACATTTTGGTTTGTTAACATATATGTTTCAAATTCTTTCATTCCTCTGTAGGGAGGCTGCATCCAACAATGAAGCAATGGCCACTATCCTTTTGCAGAATTTGCTAATACAAGTAGATGAGCAGTTAGATCGAGTTTCACAAGAAAAGAACCTTCTCTTGATTCACAACCTGAAAAGAATCAGGAAGCTTCTTCAGGTAGGTTGCCACTTCAGATACCAAATCAGAGACTTTCATGGGGCTTTAAATGTAATGGCCAACCACTGCTGAATGAGTTGGGTCCTCTGAAAGGTCAAAGCTATCCTCATCACTATAGTCTCTGGAGAACTATGCCAAGGCCAAGCCTTCAACAAGGTAAYGCAGATAGTAGTTCCGCTGTCAGTTACATTAGTGGAACAATATTTCACATTTTTAATGGATAGTGCTCAGATACAATAGCATTGTATCTGTAACTGRCAGGTGTCAGTTCAGTGTGCACCTGAGTCTCACTCAGTTTTTAAAAAAACAAGGTTATTTTTGTGGTTGTCAATGTTTATTATAAATGTAMTTACTTTTTTTTTCAGACATTCTTGATATTTAACTATAACTGATTATTTCAGGAACAAAACTGCATATTTAGACCTTAAAGCAGCAGCCTGACAAAGGCAGCCACTGGAAATCAATAATGTTTGCTATTTTATGCTTAGCTGGAATTATTTTCTATGAATGGCTTAAAGGATTTTCCATTAGGCTTTTACAAAGTGATATTTGTTTGTCTGAATGTTTCTCTAACTGCTTATTTAAAGCAACAGTTCTCAGAGTTCCACTTCATTAGTCATTTACTTCCTGCCATCTATGTCTTCTACATAAAACAGATACACATCTGAGTTTAATGAAAGTTTGCRTTTTTTTCTCTTCTTTTATGGTGTTTTCCATAGGTACTTCAATGACAATAACATTGCTTGCAAAATATTATCTTTATTTTATATATATATGTTTTGATCTGGAAAATCTTAACATGGCATTGTCCAACCTTTTGTTCTCTTTAGGGCTGTTTATCTTTTTATTCTGTGTCCCTAGTGGTGGCCTCTCTAATAAGTGACAATATTTCCATCACTACCACTTTTTTTTCTTCCAGTATTCTACAAGCCATCTCACATAACTTAAAAGGAAGGTTGCTTTTCACTTCTTTTCCTGTCTGCGTAGCAGCATTATCTGTAATTTTAATACTGCACAAACAACAAATGTGGTAAACTGGTTTTGGAATTAGCTACAAGTTGAGCAGAAAGGTTAGTGCTGTTATTTCTACCCCGGGTTAAGTGCCCGTTCAGGTGCTCGGGCTGAGAAAGTGCTGCGTCCCCTCCACACAGATACTGTCTTTGCAGTCGCGTGCAGCGAGGGAGAGGGCTCCAGCAGGACGCTGAAGTGAGCAGGCACCTTGCTGTATGGCTGAGTGTCACTTGGAGATGCTGCATTTCCAGTTCTCGTCACAGTGTGCACGGTGTTGCATACAGGCTCCGCTTTACCGCAACCTCCCAGAGCGCCTCCTGCTCCTCCCACTTCTTTTATTTTTAAAATTTTACCAAAATGTAGAGTGGTAACTCTGTCCAGCCAAATATGTCGCCAGTAAAACATGACAACTGAGACAGTAATTAGACCTTGGACCACACGTGACTATATATAATATATTGCCAAGGTAAAAATGACTGTAATAAAAACCAGCATGTTAATTCCAGCCTGTTTGGAGATTATATTATATTGTGCATCTGAAGAGTACAAAACAAATTAGCACATTCCCAGAAAGGGAGAGTTTTAAGTGATTCTCATGAAGTGTTTTCTCAGATGGCAAGGGTTTGAGTTAAGTTTCTAGAACAAGCCAAAATGCAAAGGAGTCTCCTGTACATCTACAGTTGCCATATACTAGTTAGAGCAGCAGTGGAGCTAGCAGCAGCATCAGTCTTTTCCTGCTTTAAGTAAAGTAGCAGTAAAAGTTTCATAAGGATTTGCTTTGAACTATGATTTCTCTTGGCTGCTGGCTTTCTGGAAAGCACTGCCACACAGCTTGTGGTGTGCAACAAGCAGTTTCTGTGTCGCTCTGTGGTATTGATCAGCAAGGCGACGATTTAACAAGCTGTTGCAGGCAGAAAGGTCTCGGCTCAATGGCACCTCGGAGGCTTCTAGGTTGGCAATCCAAAGCACTATGAATTCCTTGAGAGGACATCTGCAGTGCTGGAATTATACTGCGTACTGAAAAGGCCTCAGCCTTAATTTTGTGGGAACTGCTTCCAGTTCTCCTCCCATTGCTAACAACAATGGCCTTTCTCCATTCTATAAAGACAGCAAATAACCTATTTTTAGATGATAAGCCACGTGCACAGTTTCAGAATACACATGCAAACCAGCAGATACCAAATAGCACTTTCGCTGTTTGAGCTGCTCATGATTTCTTGTATGACCTTTAGTACTATAACCCACAGTCTGCTATCATTTCTAAAACACTTCATACAGGTCGGAGCAGGACTAGACTCTGGCAATGCTGTGATTTTTTCTTTTTTGATAGAGCAAACAGATGGACATATGCCTTTTAATAGAAATATGTAAAGAAAACTGGAGTTTTGYGTAAAATATTACACTTAAAATATTATATTCAAACATGACATTTTTTCATACTCACATTTGAGTATTAGGGCCCTGATTTTTGAGTGCATTGTATTTTATTGTATGTTATAGTCTTTTTTATTGCTGAATATCTATTCAGCTCTATTAAKCTTGGCATTGGACATTTAGCTCCACTGCCCAAAGCTGGACACACTTGCCTGTGTAAAACGGCTGTCATTTGAGCTAGTTTCTGATAGATTCATGAAACAAGACCAGAAGAGGTGACCAAAATATGCAGTATACTTCCCTAGCGCTTTTTGTCCCAACAAACTGCCTACAGAAAAGGAGATCAGAGGGGAAAGTTGTAAAATTAAAGAGATTTCTCATGACTTTGATGAGGAAGAATACATTTCTTAGAGAGGTAGCTACATTGTAAGCATATTTTCATTTCTGGGGACTCGTGGAGCGGTACCGGTTTGATTTTCTCTGAAGGTTAGTTGCTAGTAGCCCCCTTATCTCTACTTTGCTCTCTAGCACAACACTTCTTTGAAATTTCACAGTGCACTCCTCTTCCTTCCCCTGCACACCACACACAGACCTACAGATGTGCAGAGCATACACATGCACGGAGCTGCTCAGCCTCAATACGTGCTCTGGATGCCGTGTCGGTTTAGATTTTGGGACAAACTCTGCTGCAGCATTAACTAATACCTGTCAATAAAAGTAAATCTGGAAGCCAGCCTTTATCTCTAAGCATGCAGAACAGTACCTTGCACCATGGCAGAAGCACCTAAGTGCTATGGTAATAACACTAATAATTACAGAACACACAAAAGCTGTACCAGAAACAGTCTGTTGATCTTGACAAAAGATACCAAAGATACCAGGATGCTGCACTGCTTTAACAGAAGTAATAACCACTTTACAAGCAGCCTGTGCAGCTGTTTTCTAGACAATGGACAAAGTGTTGGGATCAAGATTCTGGTGTTGTTACTGAATTTGGAGAGAATTTTGTTTACTAGTTTACAGTACCCCAGCCAAGCACATTCAGTCTCAGACTGAAGTTTATTATGAAACAGAGAATATGCTGTTTTCTGAGCTTCGTTTGAAATATCTTTATGTAAATGGCTTAAGTAATCCATGGAAATGATGATGGAAGTAGTGGCAGAGGTCTCGGCTTGTCTGCCTTGTACTTGCAACATGAAATTTAGAATCAGTTTCAAGAATGCTGAAGTGCAAAGAGTAGAAGTGTTAGCTCTGCCAACAGTCTTGGGACATCCCTATGAACCACAGAGACTATGTCTATTCCATAGATATACCTATGGGACATGATGCTTTTGCTTCAGCTGTTGATATTTCCACAGTTTTGTTGAGGCAAAAAGCTAACATTGACCATGAGATGAGAAATTTGACTAAGTTTTAAAGACTTGAAGAAGCACTGAACAACTTGGCTAAGCAGCTATGGTTGCGGCTGCGTTCTGTGTCTCGTACCTAGCTCTCAGTAATTGCTTCTCCATGCTTCTTTTTTTCTTGCTTTTGCTGAAACAGCACTTGCTGACATTTGTACTAAGCTGAAATCCTTCATATTCAATTCTTATATTTTTCTCATTTCTCTAGCCAGCAAGGTAAAATTGTTTTTATAGCAGACATTTTCTGCAGGGTTTCTACTTACATGTAGTTAGGAAGGTTCAATTTCCACTTCCCTCTTCCCGCTGCAGAACTGCCCCTCATGCAGGCACGGAGGAGAGGAAGCCTTTGGAGGCTGTGCGGGAAGGAGGGAGGAAACCCTGCTGTGGTTCTCTCTCCTGCTTAAAAAACAGGTAGAGAAAAGGAAAGCAGATGATTACATACACGTTTTGTGCTGCTGCTGTGATGGCAATATATAAAAGGTAGGTGTGAAGCCTAGAAGCTGCCAATCACTTCCAGGAACCATCTTTTGGATTCAGCAGTCCTTGAGACGTTAGCCTCAATTTCATCTTAGTTTTTAAGGKTTTTTTTTTTTAAGTKACAGTATRCCTGTCCCTGATGCAAGCTTCKCTGCAATATGTGGGCAGATTCAGCGCACAAGAAAAGACTGATGAAATACAGACACTCATGTAAGAAACAGACTGTGCGTGTTCCTGACTCACATGCCCAAATCTTTGTTTAGCTTTGAGCAGCAGGGCAGCTGCAGAGATGGGCAGCATTTCCCCAGCTTCCGCTGCTCCCACTGCTTCTGGGATGGGCCTGGGACATGGTTGCATGTAGGTCCCAGGGTAATCTCATGATTTTCATCTCAGAAGTTCACACATCCTTGTGTTTTCCCTCCAGAGCTGGAGATGAGCAGCACTTGGCAGGTACCTGGCAGCTCAGAYGCAGCACTGCATGATGCAGCCCTGCTCTTCCAGGTACATTTGAGCTGCCTGAAGCTCAAGAGTCACAGGTTAGGTGGGCTGTGTATCCCAAGGGATAGGCAACAGTTACATGAGGAAAAAGCCGAAATCTCCCAAGCCATCCTACTAGCAACTGAAACTAGTGTGTATGTGTGTGTGTGTTTATATATATATAATACACATATATATACTTTTGTATATAATACACTATACTTTCAAGCAAGGCTCTCTCTTTAATGACAGCATGAT